TTTTAGCATATAAATTTATCAAAACTATGAAGTCAAGATTTATAATTGGGGCTCAACTGGATGTTTTTCTTCCTTGACTTTCAAAAAGATATAACCTGCACAGAATTAAATGAAAATAATCCTGTTTTGACTATGGGCTCGTAAAAGTGAGGAGTTTCATAGCTTTTAAATGAGATTCTTCAGATTCTTTCATTCATTCTTGGCACAGTTACACAGATATTTTAGGAGAAGCTCAAATAAGCAGCATATTTAAATTTTATTTTCAGCATGTATCAAATTTTATAGGCTTTTTAGGAAAAAAATACCCCAACAAAATAATGGTTTCCTGCTGCTTTTAATTCCAAATAGCCAATTGGGTAAGACAGGCTTGACTGTAACATAGAAATGTTTTCTTTATTTCTCAGTCCCACGTATCCAGAAGGGTTTGACAGGCCAGGGGTTAATGATACAGGCAAAATATTTTACAAGCAGAAGAAGAAGTGAAAGAAAAAAAATCAGGAATAAAAGAAAGGGCTAAGCTGCCAAATGTTCACCCATGAAAATAAACAACTATGAATAATTGAATATTCCGGCACCAGAAGGAGCAGATGCCACAGTGCAACAGCTACCTCCAGCTCAGCTAAGCCAGACTGAGGAGCGTGGGCCCTTGGGAGTTGCGCCCTGAGAGAGATTTGTGCCAGCTTTGTGGGACTAAGTGTGGGTTGGCTTTATTTATTTATTTTTACCTGGAAAAAGCCCCTTTTGAAACTGGAACTCAGCTATTTCTAGCCCCAGACAGTTGGATGGGAAGGCAACACCTCCCTGACACTGTGTGTAGCAGTTAAGAGGAAAACAATAGTTTAAGATGACAGGCACTTTGGCACCTAGAACAGATCCTAACACACATCACAACTTGACTGTGAAGACAAATGTAATTTACTCATAAATGGGATAAAGAAAGAAAGCAATTGCCACTCTCTTTAAGGAAACATTGGATGCACATAAGCTTTGCTATCATGGTTCTCAAACTCCTATTTAATTGCAAAGAATGTGCATAGCTTAGCAGCAAGGGCACCAAAAGTGGTGGCGGTGGCCTGTGCTGGGTGATCTTCCATCAGGCCACCTAACCTTTAGAATGTGCCAGATGAGGAAGGCCTATAAAATGGTAAATGGGTTAAAGCAACATTTCCCAAACATTGCGTCATAGAGGTAGTCTAGGACCTGTTCCTCAAAGGACAGTGGACAGATCCACCAGAAGCCTTGACTTCTGGGGAGCTCATTAGAAATACCCAATTTCAGACCTTAGAGTAGACTTACTGAATCATCTTACCAGAATCACCAGTATCTTTTGAATGCCCAAGTTGATTGGCAGGCATATTAAAGTTTGAGACACACCATTCTTGGCAAGACATCCCAAAGGTATCTGATTATAGAATCATTATTACAAACATAACTTTCTTGGCCTTTTCTTCAGAATCAGATTTGGAAGATCTGGAGTGAGAAGAAAAACTCCACATACACTGAAGGGGTCCATTTCAATGACTCTATGAGTCGTACAAATAAATAAAATAATTCTGCTTATATTGCTTCCCTTTAAAATGGAGTGAGCATCATCTAGGGAGCTTCCTGATAGTTCTGGAGAGATTAGGGAACGTGGTTGAAAGTGAAGACGCTTGAGTCAACACATCCCACAGCTGAACGGCCCAGTTACCAAGGAGGTTTTACCCATTGCAATTTCAAAATTGTTGAATTCTTAATTGATCATTGGTTAAATGCAGGAAGCATAAGGAGCTCTGATGTTGAATTAGAACAATTTAATGAGTAATATAAAATGATACTAATTTTGCAAAGTCCTCTCAAGATGATTGTCATCAGATTCATGAGCTACATTCATCTATCAAAATCCTTATTTAACACATTAAGATGTTTCCAGTACTTCAAAAAATAATCTTAAAAAGAACAGATATAGAAGTAATTATATCCAATTTGGCTTTTCATTTATTGGGACTAAAGGTTATTCTCTTGTGCAATGTGTATTTGCTGGGAAGTGCTTACAAATAATGGCCAGAAACCATCTCTCTCATGCTAACAAAATATGAAAATTGTTTCTTGAAAGAGTGTTTTCTTCTTCAAGCAAATTAAAAAAAATCCAACTAAGGTCCTGAAGGAAACCCCCCTCCTCACTTTTGATGCCATTGCACTAGTTACATTTCAATTTACATTTTAATGTACACAGATCCCCAAGTCAAATGCACTGTTTAATGACAAATCATGTCTGAGCTTGCATAAATAATTTGGAATAAATTAAAAAATATACTTGCTACATGAGAAGAAATTAAAAATATATTCCAGACATTATGAGAGATTAGTGAATTCCATGATATAGGCTTTAATGATGTTCTAATATTTTTACTTAAATCACATCTTTATCATATACTATATATATATCAAATGAGAGAATGAATTTTTTTAATTTCTGGAGAGATATGCAATATCACTACCATGAAAGTATTTCATGACTCTAAATAGTAGTACATGATAGAATAAAAAAAATGTGTTCTCCGTTATTAACATTCTTTGATTCTATCATGCCTGGAGGAGCAGGACACTTAGGGCTGTCCTAGAATTGGTTTTTACAAAGACTTCATACATCCAGAGTCTGCATAATAATTACTAAGGCACTAAAATTTTTATTCAATGCCATTAACTGCATTAAGGAATAGCACACCTGCAAGTCGAAGATGCTTGTGCTACAGAGCTTCAGATAAGTCATAAAGAGGCAGTTTGTGACAGGTAAATATGCTACTCTGTGCCAGGATATGTTCTAAACATGGCTGTAATATATCTAACTCTGGAAAAAACTCTATGAAGTAGGTGCCTATTCACTGATGAAGACTTAAAATCCAGAATGATGAAATAAATTGTTCACAAATCTAAGAAGTAATGGAAATAAAACTGGAAGGCGAACAGGACTTCATTGTCTGGGTTCTTTACCACCAAAGCAACAGATGTGTGAAACTGGAGACAGCAGGAGTTCATGCACATGTCAAAGAGGTGAGGGTGATGGGCAGAACAAGGAAGCATTTGGAAAGATGAAGTACTGTGTGTGATTAAATGAATGAAAAATTCAGAGGTGGGTTTGAATTATTCTTTGCTAATGTTATGGTTGACTCTTGGGAGCATCATGGAGTTGCTGTACTCATGAGTTGACTAATCCATTTGATGAGTTCATAGCTGAATGCGTTGTTAGGAGGTGGGGCCTGGTTGGAAGAGGTGGGTCACGGGGAGGGGGATGACTTTCAAGGTTATATCTCTTGCACTGGCTCTTGCTTTCTCTCAGTTTCCTGAGTGCCATGTGTTGAACAGGTATTTTTTCTGCCATGGAATTTCTACCTTGGAGCCCACCAACCATGGACGAACTTGACCCTCTCAGACTATGAGCCAAAATAATCCTTTTCTCTTTAAATTACTAGTGTCAGATATTTTGTCCCTGTGACACGAAAGTGACTAAAACACTATGTAAGCACAAAGTTTTACCGGAGGCAAATTCCTAGAGAAATCAAGCAGGCAAATGGTGATGAGGAATTAAGTCAGCAAGTATGGTAAAAGAGACTAGAGGCAGACAGATCAGAGAGATACTATTTGTGATAGGTCAAAGAATAGGTCATGTGGGCCTCAGAGAAGCAGATAAAGAGAAGGAATGGGGGAAAATGAGACTGAGAAGGAAGAAACTGAAGGACCTTATGTTGAAATCCCACCTCTTCTTCAGCTGGAAAGACAAATGCCCTGGCTGGCATGACCAGGTCTTTCAAGGAAAATAGACCTAGACTTGTTATCAGAAGAATAAATGCAAACATAGTCCTTCTCTTAGTTGTTCTCCTACTTTAAAGTCATGAAATATTGGTAGGATAAAATTAATTAACTAAATAACTGTAGAAGAAATATTTCCCCTGGCTCTTACATGGAGAGCATAGCTTCTGAGGTGACCTCTTCTCCCTGGCCTGTGAGAGCCCAGGCAGCATTCAGGAGAGGCCTCTCAAATCACCAGTATAGTGAAGGTGAAATGCATGTTTTAGAGGAAGATTTCATTTCCCAGGAAACATAAATGTCCCTGAAAATAGCAATTCACTCCTATTCTTAATCCCTAAGCCATCAACATCCGCTGTGAAGAATTCTTTGTCCTCAAGTAAATCCCTCTTGTCCTGTATTCTTTATGACATTCTCCAAAGGCAGCATCTGAATAAAACAACAATAACCATCTCTGCCCTCCACCTGCCCATTCCTTTCTGGAGGGGCTTTTACACTCCTGGGCACACCAAGGAAGTTTATGAGAACCCATGGAGGGGGGTAATGAGAATGGTTGGAATAAAGGCATTTTAAAGGAAGAGAAACGATGTATTTATAAATCTTTTTTAGATTATAAAAACACTGATGCTGAAATATGATAAAGAAATTGTGTGTACTCCTGAAAAGCAATTTTCTTCCTTTCTTCTTTATTATTTTTCAAGCGTGTATTTTTTAGCCCTGCTTAGGTCAAACAAACGCAATTTTAAAGCCCATTTCCATGTTTTAAGATTCAGAGAAAAGACATTTAACAGTGGGCTATAAAAATCCCATAATGCCTTTAATGTCTTATTTTGCAGATTTGTTGGAAAGCATACACTAAACAGTCGTTGCTCAACTTTTCCCATCAATGACCCCTGAACTTTGTCATTGATGGGGAGCAGCAGAATCCATTTGTGTGAGTTTCTTTCTCTCAGGCACAGTTTTTCCTGGCATTGTTGAGACACCTGCATTCTGACAATCTAGGCAGAATCTCTGAGCCAAAGTGATTTGCTGATTGTCCTCCAGAAGAAGTCATCAAACATTTAAAATATAATTTTACCAGAGTAAATTTCAGAGAGGTAGAAATGATTCTGACGATTTTCTACAGAGGCATATTGCATCTCTAAAGCTTTCTTCAGCTCCATTTAACTCCTCCCCATATTCCTACAGGACAAAGTCACCCAGAATGTACTTACAGGCTATGCGCACTGAAGCCTTCCTGCTCTTGGAGGTGCCCAGGTGGCTCCATGCCACACACTGGCACCAGTAGTCCTCTGGCCCATGGAAATCCTCCACCTGCTGCCTGGTGACATTGATAAACACCTCCCGGACTTTCAAGCCTGATGGGGAAGATAGAGAAAATCAGCTGAGGCCTTTGTATTTCTCAGATGGCAAGTTGAGGTTGCCAAACCTTTTCTTTTTAATTAACAATTCTGTTTTTAATCAAGGCAAGGTTTTAATTACTTCGACAATAATATATTACTGCTAATTAAACTCCAAGAGCTGAGTAGGCTGGAGAGCATGAATGTAAAGTATTATTCACCAAGTTGGCTCCAATGCACCATAACAGTTTGCATAGTACCTTGACCTGGTACTTTGTCTTTGTCCTTTTTTGTATAAATTCTGCTATGAGGAATGTAGTACTAAAGTTAATTGTTGGAATGTTAGCTAAATGGGCCTCAACATACCTTGTGCAGACAGTTTTAGGTTGTTCTAAATGTCCCTATCCCAGGATTTGGCAGCCAGGGAGAGTCATTGTAATGGTGTTGTTTAAAAGAAAAAGAATAAAATATATACACAGGAAGAGGTGAAAAGGCTGAGAATCCAAGTAAGGGCTGAAATATCAACTTCAAAGGCTCAGGACAACATAGCTAACGGGATCTGAAAAACAAAACATGAGCCCTGATGGGAAACATAGAACTTAGCCAAATTAAGTCTCACAAGTCCTGAGTGGAAAATCCAAGAAAAAGCCATAGCAATGGGATGAGGAATTGAAGCAAGTAAGTATTATATAAAGAGGGCACTAGGCTAGGACTACTAAGACCTTTACTTGCAATGACTGCATTTTCCTACTAGAAAATATGCTTGATTCTTCTAATTGGGGAAGTGTCAGCATCTTTCACACTTCTGACAAATGACTGCCAGCCTTTCTGTGTTTGGAAGAACGGTCACTTTTCATAGAGTTCCCTGAATAAAAGAGGATACTCCTTCCTAACCATGTCAGTTAATTCACTGCAAATAGGGCAGCAGCCATTATAACCTGTGTGTCGCCTCTGTCCAGTACACACTTGCCATCCTGTGCCTTGCTCTCAGACGGACAGGGTGGGAGGAAAGAAGACATGTTCTTGCTCTCCAGGGAAGAGCCCAGCATTGTGACAAGCCCTTACCCTCTTCATTCACAGTTTCACAACACATGGAGGCAGTGTATGCTATTGTATCTGTAAGATATGGATGAAAAAACTATGACAGAGCAGCTGAGTCACTTGTCCACAGTCACAGTTTATAAACTGACCCCAATTCTGCCTTATACCAAAACCAGTGCAATGCTCAGGTGCTTCTCCATGATTCAATGCTGTTCTGGTATTTTAGCTACCTAATCTTAGTTATGGAAATAAGATAACATGTTATGGTCTATATCTAGATGCCCCCCTCAAAGCCTCATATGCTCATAAGTGGGACTTTGGGAAGGTGACTGGATCATGGGGGCATGATACTCATCAGTGGATTAGTCCACTTACATATGCACAGGTAAATATGATGTTGAGAGGTGAAGCCTGGTTGGAGGTGGGGCACTGGGACATGGCATGAAAGAATATATCTCCCTCGGTCTTCCCTTGATTTTGCTGCCTTCTGTCTGTGCTGCCATGAACTTTTTCTTCTCTGCCATGCTGCCCTTACCTTGGAGGCAACAAACTATGGACCAAATCCTTTACAAACTTTGAGCCAAAATAAACCTCTCCTTTTTTAAGTTGTAGGTGTCAGGTATTGTGTCCCAGCAACAAAAAACTAAGACATAACATATGGAATAGTTAAAGAAAAATTAAGTGCCTATTTTTCCTTTAAATGTAAAATAAATTAAATAATTCAGGGGACGGAAGCATTAGTATAAGCAGAATGAGGCAAGGATGGGAATGCGGAGGGTGAAACATGATTCTGCCTTGGGTGGCAGCAGGATTGAAAGAGTAAGAATAAAGGTATAGAATTAGCTGGATGGGAGAAACTTCCCTTCCTCTCAGCCAATAGTGTTATCTACTGTGTGGGATACGAAATGGTATGGACATATAAATCCCTATTCACAATCTGAGGTAAACTTTCTAAATTTGTCAGAGGCACGCTAGAAAGCAGAGGAACTTATCTCTCTGCCATTGGATAGTTTACATTTCCCTTCTTTGTGGAAAGTGCTCCAGTACTGCATTTTCCTTGTCAGAGTTGTGCCAGTCTCCTCACCCATCTCCTCTATGAATAGGAGAAAAGAACCTTTAGAGGCTATGTTGTTGTTATTGCTGTTGCTGCTTTGTTTTCTCTCTGTGCAGTCAAATAATAGGCTGTGGCATATAGCTCAGTGGTAGAGCACTGGATCAGGATGTACAAGGCCCTGGGTTTGATGGCCAGCACTGCAAAATACCAACACAATCAACGGGCAAGACAAGGACAAGGAAAGGGAAAGTCAGTAAAGACAAAGGAGAATATCACAGAAAGAAAAAATAAAGCCTGATTTAAAAAAAACATAGTTTGTTACACTAGAAAGCAGGCTGGAGAAAGCAGAAAATAAAATTGAAGAAGTGGCAATAAAGAATAAGTCTGTGTAAAATAACTGCTTGCTTTATATCTTCTGCTTTGGTTTGAAGCAAAGGGCAGAGTCTGTACTTTGAAGATGAGGAAAGCATACCAAAGCAACATGTTTGGGTGGGAGGTGGAGCGACACTATCACTAACACCATGCTACATGTGCTTTGGGGAAGACTAACCATGGAGACAAAAATATACCCACATTGTGGAAAATAGGATCTCCCCAAAGAACCATACAACAGTTTGAAAAGATGGCTAAGCGAATGGGAAACACTTTTCATTTTTTACTCTCCCCATCTTGTAAGTGTATGTAAGTTACTAGTTTCTTCTAGGTTAAAAACGAGACAAACATCATTTCAAAATGGATCAGAGAGTTTTTACATTGAAACTAGAAATGCAGGGTCATCACATACAAATCTGTAGACATGCTATGATTGAATCATTTTACCACTGTGTTTTAAGGGTTTTGATGATTTATTTTAATCCGTTGTGGTCAAACATACAGACATGGATGGCAATGCCAGTCATGAAGGAAGACACTTACATTCATCAATACCTAGAAACAATAGTCACTGTATGCATACTGGGGCCTCCTGGGGAAGCATCAGCATAGTTCAAAGGTAGAAGGAATGGGAAATGTGGGCAAGAGCCTTTCTACTGTGGTTCCCATGAAAGAAAACAGAAAAGACAAGGTGGGCAGGCTTAGGATTTGTTACCTTGAATATCAGTAGGCACCTGATATTAATGGCTATCATTGGGGGTCTGTTTGCTGGTCTGGGGTTAGGGGAGGGGGCCAGAGGGTTAGAATACAAATGTTTTACAAAGGAGGCACATAGCTTCTGGGTGGGTTGGTTTGCAAATGAAAGGCAAGATCATAAGGAACTTGTTTGCAGACTCTTAGAATTAGCAATCTGATCAGGGCATCACCATAGGCTCAACAACATAGCCCCAACTAGAAAAATGTGATTACTACACATGGACAGAGAACTCTATATTGTGCTTTGGAAAGCATTAACAGCCAAACAGGGAGATGGCGGAGTGGTAAGCAGGAATAAATCAGCCTCTCCAAGATTTGGAATCCAGACATTGGAAAATAGCAACTTGGGGAAGAAAAGGAGGATCTCTGGGACACAGAAAGGATCTAATGGGAAAATTGGAGACTACAGAGAAATTAAATAGACAGACCTCAAGACAGAAAAAGGAAGGGAGAATCTGTACTTTCTCCCCAGATTCTGGTTTGTGGCTCATAAGAAAGGAAGATTGAATCTACAGATAAACAGTGAAAGCAGGTGACTACACAGACCTTCAGAGAAACACACCAGTGGAATGGAGCAGTGGATGCTGTGTACTAAACTTGTGAGTGACCCCAGGCCAAGCACCTGCCATATCCCCTGGACAGAGTGCTTGGTCAGATGCTATTCTAGGGAAGGCCCAACTGAACCTGGGAGTCAGAGAGGCTGAGGGTTGGCTGCATCTCAGGGGTCCCAGTGTTAAACTCCCACAGTAACTGGCTGAGGGACAGCCATGGGAGATGTCCATGGTCAGGGAGCAATGGTCAGGCTGGCAAGAGAAACACAGTGTGTTATAAGCTAAAGCACTCAGGTCCCAACCCCACAACAAGAGGCCAGGTTCAGCCTGAATTTCCTTGGATTTGAAAGTCCCAGAAGTGGCACCTCACCCTAATCTTACTGCTGGCTCACTAGTGATTACTCAGCATGGATCTGGGCTTTGACTGCTTCCTTTGTCTAACGGGAGGAGCAGAATCATGCCTTGAGTTGGACACTGACACAAAACTGTAGACCCCGGAAGATAAACATGGGCTTCAAATCACAGAAAAATTTCTGAGTTTTTTCTTTGCTTTTGGATTTTCGTTTTATGTTGTTGTAGTTGTTCAATTGTTTTTTGTTTTGTTTTGTTTTGTTTTTGGTACTAGGGATCGAACTCCGGGCCTTGAACTTGCAAGGCAGGCGCCAGAACCACCGAGCTAAATCTCGGCCCTGTTGTCAGTCATTTGGTTATTTCTTTATTGTTTGTTTTTGTGAGTGTGAACATTGTTTTTAGTTTTGTTTTTGGGGGGCGGGGTTGTTCCCCCCCCCTTCTTTTTGGCCCTATCTTCTTCTGCCTTTTCTCATGGCTTAGGTAATCTTCCTTTGTCCTTCAGACTTGCTTCTAATCTCTTTTTCTTTTATTTCTCTATTATTCATCTTCTTCCTTTAAAATTTTATCCCCTTAATTACTTACTTATTTTACTCTCAATATAATTTCCTTTTTCTCCCACTTTTTCTTTTACCTTCTATTTCTTGCCAGATTTTTGTCCTACCTTTACCCAATTCTATAGACATTCTTCTACTCCCCAATAAGATCCTTTGTAACACTTATCACTCCACTTTCTCATATCATAACAATTAAGGTTTCAAAGTTTTCTTTGGCATCCTCCCATTCCCAAGCCCTAAATTTTTAATAGTATAACCACAAAGTTTTGTTAATCTTTTGATAGTTAACTCCATAAAATTACCATTGAATTCTTTTGTGTCATTAGCAAAGATATAGCA